GTCGAAGATGACTAAGTAAATTCGGACGGAGGTAGTATTTATTAATTTAAATAATCACGAGCCAATTACAACGTTTATCTAACCTAAAAATAAGATTTTTGGTTAGACAGCTTCCAACATATGTAGAATTATAAACAAGAGTAAAATACAACATTTATCTAATGTTGAGATATTTTTGTGAGAATCTATTTTTTATATCTTGCAGGTGTACGTTATCAAGATACTTTGAAACTTTATTTGTAATTTATTTATAAAGAAATTTTAAAACATTTATAATATTAATATAAGACAAACACGATGTTTCAATAAATTATTCTTTAATATGAAAAATAATTTTTCCCGTGCATCGCACGGGTACTATACTAGTAATAATAATAATACTATGTGGGCTTGGCCCGATTTAATCACTACAAGAAAATGGGTTATTAGCGAAGGGAAATGTGGTCGCAAAAGGTAAATAAATGGTCGCTAATGCTTATTTGCGACCAAAAAATGTGGTCGCGCGATCTTCCCTATTGGCTTGGCTGCAAAAAGCTATTTGCAACCGGAAAAAGCACCACGTTGCTAAAACATTTTTAGACCAGGAAAAATGTGAACGCTATTGATGTTATTAGAGACTGCAATTTTAGACAAATTGGGACCAGAATCCCTTCACTAAAGTTAATAATATACAATACATGATTAGCTTTTTTGTAATCTCAATGGTTTCACCAACGTACTTTCCATTCATTATATTTTGAATAGTATTCGATTACACTAATACGAATATAATATACCGCTCGCTCTCCAATAAAAGATGAAGAATAACTTAGAGAAATCTGAAATCAACATTGAATCTAAATAAAACCATAAATCTTTAGGTTCAGAATTAAAAAATAATCACTAAAATATACTTCAGTTTAAATCCCTCAAGCACACTGCTATAAATGTGATAGAGTAAATAACAAACTATCTCAAACAGTATACTACACATATAACAAGTGCTTCGCTTCAGGGGCGGAGCCATGAATTTGGTTCAGCGGGGTCAGAAACTAAAGGCATAATTTATTTATTTATTTTTTAAAACAGATAACTTAATTATCAATAAAACCGTCGAGAACCAGATACAAAGCCGCCACATCAAAGACTACATTGGGATGAGACATAGAGCTGGAAGATCGCTGAAAAACGACCCAACTCGCTAACCCCACAAGATGGTAGACTCCACTAACAGCAATGTTGTACTTGCCACTAGAATGACTGAAAAAAGTAATTAAAGAGTTCTGGGAAAAAGAGCAAAAATAAGAATAACGAGATCCAGTTTTTCAAGCCACTGGCAACGAATGTGCGGTTTGTCCAGCCCCCGCCAAAGGTCCATCTTCGTTGTCACAGAGGTCCCCCGTCACTAGATTAACAGAGTCAACCGCCACTTCTTCACTACTCGCAAGTTGTCCCTCTTGCTTGCCCGCCGAACTCTTTTCATCTGCAAGAGTTTCAGTAAATATGACAGGCGGTGCCGTCCCTCTGGCACCGTTTGCTGTCCGTTTTTTTTTTTATCTTCTTCTTATGTCTCCTCAAAACTCGCACTGCTTTTTTCCATAACTTTCTCAATCTCTTCCTCACGTGATATGGTTCCACATCCGCTAAGGATCAGCCGCTTATTACCCCGATGCATTCCTCTCCTCATATCAGCACGCATCCAAGCCCCATATGGTTTCTCTCTGGTCCAAGGTCCGGAGTGAGTATTAGATGGACAAAGGCGATCAACATGTCCCAGAATTTCACAAATAAAGCAAAACTTTAAAAGACGCTCATATTTGAAATCTGCCCAGAACCAGTTACCCCCCTCCTTCCTTATCTGTAGTCTACGAACAAGTTAAACTTTGAAATATTGTAGAAAAATGTAACATGTATTTGTTATTTTAATTTTATGTACATCCGGAACTATATAGATAAGACTTAGAGTAGATAGATCTCTTTAATTAAGTAGATAAGCTCGCAGATTAGATAGATCATATTATTTAGGATTTGAAACAACTAGGTTGTTATTTGTAACCTGTATATATATGATTGCCAGATGGATCAATAATATTCAAGGAAGATTAATTCCTCAAACCTACATGGTATCAGAGTCTCGGTTTAAACAAAACAATGGTAGAAACCAGTGATGCTGATTCCTCACACACTATCAACCCTAACTCCCAAATTAGCCCTATGAAAATTACCAGTCTTCTATTCATTCATCTATGATTATCTCTAGTCATAGATTGAATGGAACAAACTATCTGGAATGGTCTCAATCTGTTAGACTCGCAATTGATGGGAGGGGAAAACTACGGTACATCACAGAAGAAATTAAACCAAAAATTACCTGGAGAGGAAGGTTACAGTACATGGATGTCAGAGAATTCACTCATAACAGCTTGGCTTCTCAACTCCATGGAGCCCTTAATTGTCAAACCTCATATGTTCATGAAAACTGCAAAGGAGGTATGGGACTCGATTAAGGAAACTTATTCAGATCTTGAGAACTCTTCTCAAATTTTTGAACTCAAAACCAAGCCGTGGCAATCTAAACAAGGAAATAGGGATATCATTTCATACTACAATGAAATGGTATCTCTGTGGCAAGAATTAGATCAATGCTATGGTGATGAAGAGTGGGAAAGTGCTAAGGATTTTGCCAGACATAAGAAAAGAGAAGAGAATGATAGGGTCTATATGTTTCTAGCAGGGATCAATAGGGACCTAGATGAAGTAAAAGGCAGAATACTGGGAAAGAAACCTCTGGCCTCAATCAGAGAGGTTTTTTCTGAGATCAGGTTGGAAGATAGCAGGAGGAGGGTCATGTACAACACTCCAGTACCTAATGAGGAACCTGGGGACTTTTCAGCTTTAGTGGCCAGAAGTGATGACAAGAAAAAACCCTGGTGTGATCACTGCAAGAAATTGTGGCACACCAGGGAAACATGCTGGAAACTTCATGGAAAGCCACCAGGAGCTGGAAAGACGAAAGTTGAAAGGGCCCTACAAACTACTGTGACTGAGACTCAACAAGAGTCAGGAGTTGACTCTAAACAGCTGCCTTTCACAAAGGAACAGATAGAGTACCTACTCCAATTTCTACCTACCCAGAAAATCTCCAACCAAGAAAACCCTTCTTGTTCTTTTGCCCAAAATGGTAAAATTACACCATACTTTTGTTCTGAAAAAACCAAAAGTACCCGGGTCATTGACTCAGGTGCAACAGACCACATGACCTACATTCCAAATCTCTTTTCTTCATATCAACCTTGTGCAGGAGATAAAAAAGTTAGAGTTGCAGATGGCTCTTTTTGAGCCATAGCAGGGATGGGAAACATTAAAATTTCCTCATCCATTAACCTTTCTAAAGTCTTACATGTCCCAAAACTTTCCTGCAATCTTATCTCTATTAGAAAATTAACCAAAGACCTTTAGTGTTGTGTAAAATTTTATCCTTCTTATTGCATTTTTCAGGATCTGGCATCAGGGAGGATGATTGGCGGTGCTAGAGAGGAGAATGGCCTATATGCTTTTGATAAAGGAACTGAATTAAATAAACAAGGTCAATGAAAAGCTTGTCTGCAAACTGTTTCCTTTCCTTGTAATAATGAAGTGTATTTAATGCATTATAGATTAGGTCACCCTAGTTTTTACTATCTAAAAAGGTTGTGTTTCCTCAGTTATTTCATAATAAAGATCCTTCATCATTTCATTGTGATATGTGTGCACTTGCCAAACATCATAAGAGCTCTTATATCCCTCATAGTTACAAACCAACTAGTCCTTTTACACTTGTACACAGTGATATTTGGGGTGCATCTAGAGTTTCAACTCCGAAAGGAAAAAGGTGGTTTGTAACTATCATAGATGATCACACACCAGTCACATGGTTTTTTTTTTATTAAAGAAAAATCTAAGGTTGAAGATGTGTTCAAGAAATTTTACTCAACCATTCAGACTCAATTCAATACCAATATCAAGATTGTGAGAAGTGATAATGGCCTTGAGAGGAAAAATAGGCATTTGCTTGAAGTAACTCGTGCAATTATGTTTATGGGGAGAAGCTGTTTTACATGCTACCTATTTAATTAATAGGATGCCATCAAAAACTCTAGGATTTAAAACTCCTATTGATACACTTCAAGCCAGTTTTCCTAACACTAGGCTTATCAACTCTCTTCCCATAAAAATTTTTGGCTGCACAGCTTTTGTTACCAACCCTGATAGAACTGCAAGCAAATTTGACCCTAGAGGTAAAAAATGTGTTTTCTTAGAACTATCTCTAACACAAAAAGGCTATAAATGTTTTGATCCTACAAAAAAAAGATGTTTGTAACAATGAACACTGTTTTTGTTGAAGATCAATCCTTTTTTAGTACTCATCTTCAGGGGGGATTGTAGTGAAGATGGTAACAATGTGCCACATATTCATGAAAATCTTGAATTTCTTGACATTAGTCTAGATGCACATCATAGTAGACAGTTAGATGCACTAGAAAATAGTCAAGAATCAAAAGAAAATGAAATAATTTTTTCTGAGACAAGGAAAGAAGATGAACAACAGACAAGTAAATTTTTTGGCAAGGTTTATGAAAGGAGAGTTCCAAATCAAAGAATAGAGGACATCTCTGATCCTACAACTGCTCATGAATCTGACTCAATGTCAGAAAATGACAAAGGTAATAATTCCAATGATCTAAATCTACCAATTGCTCTCAGAAAAGAAAGAAGGTCATGTGTTAAATACCCTCACTACAAGAAATAGTACCATTTGCGTCGACTCTTTTAGCGTCGACGTTAGTGAACGCAAATATCGTACATTTTGCATCGACAAGTCGACGCGAATAACATTGAGAATTGATCCGGAAAAGAATTCGATGTTTTCGAATTTGCGTTAAACTGTTGACGCTAAAAGTAGTCCGATTTTTTTTAAACATTAGCGTCGAAGATGTGGACGCAAAAACTGAAATGTAGAAATATAAAAAAAGGCAAATTTAAAACAAAGGAGCTCCTGTACGTCTAGGGCAAAATAGCTCAAGCCCAAAAATGTCCGTCCCTAATCTAAAGCAAAGAGCCGCAGCCCCCAATCGACAGAGTCACAGAGACGACATCCGTTCCGACGCATAGAGACTGAATCGCCGCTCCACGCTCGCTCGCTACAGTGCTCCGCCGTCTGGTGCTCACCGTCTGCTTCTTCTCTCCAGCCTTGACGACTCCAATCTGCTTCTGCTCGTCCACGCTGGCTGCTCGTCTGCTATGCCAAGGTAAGCGTTTCTTTTTTTTTTTTTTTGCAATTTTTAGTTTAGTTTAAGTATGGCAGAACTGCTTTCCATGCTTTGTGTTAGAACTAAATTACACTGATGTACTAATTTAAAGTTCGAGTTACACATAAATTAAGGTGTATCAAATTACACCTTAAAATAGATTAGTAATCTTAAAATAGAATTTAAAGCTCGAGTTACATAAATTAGAAGTGCTTTCCATGCTTTGTGTTAACTTTCAAAATTTGTAACTAATTTAAAGCTCTGCACTAAATCTACACAATTTAATTTTTCACAATTCTAATTTTTCTGATAAATTAGAATGAAACTTTGCTACACTGCTAATTCCCAATCATTTCAATTCGCAGATATAGTTGAATAGTTTGTAAAACGGTCCATTCGTATATGAAAGATTATGTTTGGTTTTATACTTATTGTGTCCAAGCTTAGTAGTAATAATTTGAGTTTCATATCTTCCTGCCCCACCTTAACAATTCATATATTGATTCCAGGACCATCTTCTCCTGGAAAGGATATTGATGTGTTCTTAAGGCCTTTGATTGATGAGTTACAAGAATTGTGGTCTGAAGGGATTGTTGTACATGATGGAGCTACAAACACTAGGTTTCAAATGCGCGCTGCTCTACTCATGACTATCAGTGACTTTCCTGCTCGTAGTAGTTTGTCCGGTTGGAGTGGACAAGGATATTATGCGTGCCCTACATGCAATGTTGATACTCCTTCCATGCGTATCACAAGTAAAACATGTTATGTTGGGCATCGATCGTGGCTACCAATTGACCATGTATTGAGGAAGAATAAAAAGTTCAATGGGCGCATTGAGAAAAGCACTCCTCCAAAACGAAAATCCACTCAGGATATATTGGAGCAGTTACGAAATGTTCCTACAAGGGCTCCCGGAAAGCATGAAGATTATGGTGGGAAGAAGCGCAAACGTAAACGAAGACCACATGAGTCGAACTGGACCAAGAAAAGCATCTTCTGGGAATTGCCTTATTGGTCTTCTTTGTCATTGCGTCATAACTTAGATGTTATGCATATAGAGAAAAATGTTTGTGAAAGCTTACTAGGTACAATCTTGAGCATTGATCGAAAGAGCAAGGACACGGATAAAGCAAGACTTGATATGGCGAATTTGGGAGTTCGAGAAGAGTTACACTTGTTTAAAGATGGTGACCAGTTAATGAAACCACATGCAGCATACACGTTGAGCCCCATCGATTGTACAAAATTCTGTGAGTTCTTAAAACATGTGCGGTTTCCGGACGGCTTTGCTTCAAACTTGGGGAAGAATGTGATAGGTGGGAATAGTAAGATTTCAGGTCTTAAATCACACGATTGTCATGTTATTATGCAGCGGTTATTGCCTATTGGTATTCGACCGTTCATGAAGAAAGAGATAGTTGACGCTATCACTGAGTTGTGCAATTTCTTTCAGTTGATATGTTCAAGGAAACTGAAGGTGAGTGATTTGAAACACGCTCAGAAAGACATTGTTGTTATATTGTGCAAATTAGAGACAATATTTCCACCTGCTTTCTTTGATATCATGGTCCATGCTGTGATGCACTTACCGGAGGAAGCCATTCGAGGAGGGCCTGTTCATCTAAGATGGATGTATGCGATTGAACGATTTCTTGGCTCTTTGAAGAAGTATGTTAGGAATCGTGCACATCCAGAAGGATCTATTGCAGAGGCTTACATTGCGAATGAAGCATTGACATTCTGCTCAATGTATTTAAGTGACATTGAGACAAGATTCAACAGATTGGAGAGGAATTGGATTGATAGTGATGTTCACAATGCAGGAAGTTTGTCTATCTTCCAATCTCGATGTCGTCCAATTGGAAAAATGTCTCCAATAACTTTGGACTACAATATGCGGAATAAAGCAGAGTGGTACATCTTACAAAATTGCTCGGAAGTCCAACGATATATTGAGTAAGTGACTAAACTTCATTATATTTACATAATCACTGTATGATGTTTCTTTCTTACCATTAAAATTCAATGATGAATAGTGAACACAAAGAAATGATCAGCCAGCGAAATGCCATTGGTTCTTTGGATGAAGTTCAACTTAGGGAGTTTCCCATTTGGTTTCAAAGAAAGGTATACCTTTAAATTTAATCATATATTTCAAGGTGTAGTTATATTGATAATTAATAAATGCTTATCTTTTTAGATGTTTGAGCTCCAAGAATGTTCAACATTGGAAGTGAACAAACAATTGGTTTATCTTGATTTTCGCTCAAGCCCAACCTTCAAAAGTTATCCTGGATGCATAGTTAATGGAGTTAAGTTTTTGACTCAACGTCGAGATATGAACCGATCTACTCAAAACAGTGGAGTTTCTGTGAGGGGGTCAGATGATCAAGTCTTTTATGGACAATTAGAGGACATTTATGAATTGTCTTATGGAGGCAACAACTCTATTGTTCTCTTCAAATGTAAATGGTACAACACAAGCTTAGACCGACGTGGGCAACGAAGGGGAATCAAAGAGTATAAAAATAAGATGAGCATATGTATCAAGGATGTTTGGTATGAAAATGAGCCTTTTATTCTTGCATCTCAAGCAGAGCAAGTGTTTTATGTTGAGGACCTTTACAATGGTCCACAATGGAGAGTTATTGAGCATTTTGGGCATAGACACATTTGGGACCTCCCCCCAAATCAAGAAGATGATATGTGTGTTGTCCAAGATGTTAAATCTTCTGGAGTTGAATTGATTGTTGAACTACCAAACTTAGACTCTATGTTATGTAATGAATCAAGTGTTTCTCCAAATGTTGTTTCATCTGATGTGAGAGTTTTGTATGAGAAAATGCAAGATGGTTCTCTTAACAATGAAGAAGATGAAGCTCCAGATGATTATAATGAAGAGAGTGAAAGTGAGTCTCTAAGTTGTGGTAGTGGTGATGATGCTGACGATGGCAACAATTATGATGATGATGATGAGAGCCTGACATATATTAGTAGTGATGATGATTCTATATGATATGTACTTTACTTATTATTTGCATGTACGGTATTTATTTAGATGTTTTTGTGGACAAATGACTTGATCCTATACTTTTGTGTTGAAGACTTGGATGTTTTAACTTTTTTATTTCCTCCAGTGGTAGTATGGTATAGAATTGAACGTAAATTGTATTTTTTATACATATGCGCATATATAGGTGTATTTCATGGCAGGATCCGTAGCTACATGTGCGGGTTCAAGTGGAGGAGCACAACCTCCACCAGGTCCTGGTAGAAGATTACCCCGTTCGTGTGAGTCAGGTATCATGTAATTCAAATGATTTACTACTTCTTATACACTAAATTATGCATGATTTATTTACTAACATAAATGTTGTTTACTGATATGTGTAGCATCAGAAACACGTAGAAGTGAGAAAGCAAAGCGAAAAGGGAGAGGATTAGCGAAGGGAAACAACATCATAAATGATGTAGCTAAACACGGAAAGATCAAGATTAGTTTTGATTCACTAAGGAAAACATGGAAAGCAGTAGGGCCGAAAGCTTTTTGGTGGTCAAGTGCAATTGGGATACACACACGAGACTGTTGCGAGCCATTCCACGATAGGTGGGATGATGTTCCTGCTTGTCAAAAAGCAATGATCCGCCAGCGGATGCTGGTAAATATTAAAAACGTTGTCTTGTTTTTTATTAGATTTATTAATTATAACATTAACCATGTTTTCATATATTGAAGGATTGGTTTGAGTTTGAGAATGAGCGTGAATTTGATGAAGTGCTGAATCGTGATGCTCGAGAGTCTTACAATGATTGGAAAAGTGATTTATCTGTGTACTTTAAGAACAATGGAGGTATGCAAGCTAAGAAACCTGTAAATGTACGGAGTGATGACCATTGGCAGAGGTGTTGTGAGAGATTCAATTCAACAAAGTTCAAGGTTAACTATGAGCATATTTATTTCATTATGTAGTTAAAATTTGAAGTTATGACTTGGTTTCCTTCTTTCACAGGAGATCTCTGGAAAAAATTTACAAAATAGAGAAGCAAGTGATGATAAAAGTGGGCATGGAAGAAAATCATATGCCCAGTACATGCACGAAAAAGTAAGACTTGAATCATTGTCATTACATTTAAAATTGTGGTATTGATTAGTGTTGAGTGATTGAATATATTTGGGAGTAGTGTGCGATGAAATATGAATGTGTGTTCTAATAATATTTTTGTGGTGCTATTTTTGCGGGCAGTTTTTTTGGATTTCATTAATGTTTTTGGACTGTTTTTTGCATATGTTCATGCATTTTTTTGCAAATCTTTTGGAATTTTTAATGGTTGTATAATACTATGATGTTTTAGTTTTAATAGTGAGTAGTGATTGAAGTTAGTTATCTTATGTTAATGTTACTTTAATCATTTTTATATGTTTGTTAATTGTAATGAATACTATATAGGATAATCTGATAACTGGTGAGCAGTCTTCGGCTCTTGAGAATTGGAAGGATCAACGCTTGACTCGTAGTGGTGAATGGAGGACTAAAGAAGCACATGACAAATATGTAAGTAAATAATTTTTTAATTAATTGTATCCTTAATAATATGTAATTGTTTTGGTATATAATTTGATAGGTCAGAATGAGCGAGGAGTACTAGACACAATTAGAACAAGCAGGGTCATCTTCATCAATAAATGAAATTGAGATCATGAACCGAAACTTGAAGAATCATCGAGGACGACAAAGTGGAGTAGGTCCTACACTGTCAAAGGGTGCATCTCGTCGCTTGGAAGATGGTGCTACTTCCACATTGCAAGATCACCGTGATGCTCAGATAAGTGAATTGCGGGCAAATCAAGAATTGATACTCAGTGCTCTACGACATTTTATTCCCGGCTTTCAGTTGCCTTCACACGCCTCTGGAAGAGACGTTCCTTCGATGTCCAGTGCGAATCAACCTGATGAGAGCCACAATGATGATGATGATCAGAATTAGTGATAGCATGTTCAATATGCGTTCTAATTTGTTATGGTGGATGAGTTTATGTTTGTTTAAATTATGACTTTGTTTGACAAGAATTACTTTAATTTTGACATTAATTTAATAGTATTAGACATTTAACGAATTGATATGTTGGGAATGATATTACATTTTGTCATTTTGATTGTGTCGAATTTGATCTTGATTAAAAATTGTGCAGCAGGAGCAAATAGAGAATATAAATTGAATATACACAATTTTTTTTAATTATTTGCGTCGACACATTGACGCAAAACGTTGGTAGAACTAAATGCGGGTAAGATCTTTGGCGTCAACATGTTGACGCGATTGATGGCACTATTTGCGTCGACGCGTCGACACAAATAATATTATAGTTTTTTGCGTCGACATATACCTAATTATAGCCGTACTGTCTTTCCCGTTCACATGTCGACGCAAATACATTTTTATCATTAGCGTCGCACGCTGTGGACGCAAAAGAACTATTTGCGTCCGAGTATTTGTGTCGACCTTTTTGCGTCGACAAGTGGACGCGAATAAGTTATTTGCGTCGATTTGCTACTTTTTGCGTCGACAAAATGTCGACGCAAAAAACCCATTTTCTTGTAGTGCCTATCTCAAACTATGTGTCTTATTCTTAGTTATCTAAATCATTTGCAGCCTTTACCTCTAGCCTTTCCACTGTTTCTATTCCCTTAACCATACAAGAAGCTCTATCTAAACCTGAGTGGAAGAAGGCTGTTTTAGAGGAAATGAATGCTCTTGAAAGGAATCAGACATGGCAGGTTGTGGAATTACCCAAGAACAAACAAACAGTGGGATGCAAATGGGTATTTACCCCTAAATTCAAGGCAGATGGTACACTTGAAAGATATAAGGCCAGATTGGTTGCCAAAGGATATACACAAACCTATGGCATAGATTATACAGAAACTTTTGCTCCGGTTGCAAAATTAAATACTATAAGGATTTTTCTATCTCTAGCTGCTAACCTAGAATGGCCACTACAACAATTAGATGTGAAGAATGCTTTCTTAAATGGGAAGCTTGAAGAGGAAGTGTACAAGAGCCCCCCTCCCGGGTTTGAGGGATAGTATGGCTCAAAGGTGTGCAAGCTGGAGAAAGCCTTATATGGACTTAAACAGTCTCCAAGGGCTTGGTTTGACAGGTTTACTCAATTCATAAAGAGGCAGGAATTCAAGTAAGCCCAAGCAGATCATACATTATTTATGAAGTTCTCAAGTAAGGGAGAGATTGCAGTTTTAATTGTATGTTGATGATATCATTCTTACAGGAGACTATCATAAAGAAATTGAACACCTAAAGAAGAAGCTGGCCCAGGAATTTGAGATCAAAGACCTGGGAGAATTAAAGTACTTTCTTGGCATGGAGATAGCCAGATCAAAGAAGGGAATTGTGGTATCTCATAGGAAGTATGTACTAGATCTTCTCCATGAAACTGGTATGAGTGCCTGCAAACCAATAGATACTCCAATTGATCCTAATCAAAAGTTAGGAGATGTCAGAGAAGGAGTACCAGATAATGTTCAGCAATATCAAAGATTGGTGGGAAGATTGATTTATCTGGCACATACAAGGCCAGATATTGCCTTTGCAGTTAGTATGGTTAGCCAATTAATTAATTAACATTAATACGGAAAAAAACTCGATGTTATTACTCTTAACACATTCATTGGTTAGAATGTTAGATAGTCTAATACTTTCTTGTCCTTGTCCGTTCTCAACTTCAATATTGTTTCATCTTTTAAGTCTATTAATTGAATATTTTCCTGAAGATAGATTTGCACTTCTTCATTCTCCTCCTTTCACTGGGCTATCTGCATGGGGGGATTCAATTAGGGGTACCCTATTATAAACAGGTCCTTACCTGTTCAATCATGAGAGGGTACCCTATTATTGAATTATGATAGGGGTACAGTTAACATCCATGATCATCTACTATCAGGCTCTGGATGTCTGGCTCGGTTAGGTTCGAGGTAATAAAGATATAAAATATATTTATATGCGTGTGTATTTGCACACAACATTTTAAGATTTTAATTTATAGCTAGGTTCAGAAATTATTTTTATTTGTCAATTAAATGCTAATCGCGTTTACATACTAAAGGTGCAGGTTTTTGTTATACGGCTAGCGGGCTAGGCTCTGGGTAGCGCATTCTTTGGATATCCCCCTACTTGGTTACATCTCTATACTGCCTTTCTGTTTTATCTCTCAATCTACTGCACCCATCCATCCACCATAGGGGTGGACCGGTTCCGGCTCGGACCCGGTTCGGGCCTGGGCCCGGCCGGGCCTCGGTTCAGAAAAATGAGGCCCGAGCCCGAACCGGTGGTGGGCGGTTCCGGGTCCGGTTCCGGGCCAGACCGGGCCAGGCCGGGCCACCCGGTTTTTTAATTTTTTTTCTTCTTCTCTTATTTAACCCCCTACCCCTCCCCCTTCACCTCAAACCACCTCAAATGGCCCAAAATACCTAATCCAACCCAAAACTTAAAAAAATTCAAAAAAAAAAATTAAAAATAAAAAATAAATTCCGGCCCGAACCGGGCCGGGCCGGTTCACTAAACTGGAGACCCGGGCCCGGACCGCTATACCACCGGGCCGGGTGGCCCGAACCGGGCACAAACCGGTTCACCGGGCCGGTCCGGGCCCACACAGTAGCGGGCCGGTTGGCCCGGCCCGAGTCCATCCATAATCCACCAATGTGAGAATGAGAACCCCCACTATCTGTTTCTGGCTTGCATGACTAGTAGAGATGTTCCCAGCCTTCGTTTTTGTCTTGTATTTAAAAGGCATGTGTTTTTTGCTTCACTGATCTATACAAACGTCAAAAGCATCACTTAAAATCCAACTATACACACACACACGCAAACTCCCCACAAATTCTATCTAATAAAGGCTGATTTCTGCTTTCAGTAGACTCTTACAGAGATTTTGAATATGGGGTTAACCAGTTAAAGAACAGTATTCTTGTGTCGCCCCCTTGAATAAAAAAGAGAATGCCATCCCTCCTGAGAGTACATGTTTTTTTTTCTACCACACACTGCATTTCTTTCTTAAAAAAGAGAAGAAAAGAACGGCTTGTATGGGAGGAAGGTAGTAGTTTTTTGTACACGTAGGATGGGTTTTATTTATCACACTTTAAACATGTTCTCATTGGTTTTTAACTGGGAAAGAGAGCAACTACATCACTATACAACATTACAACTAGTAGATAGTTTCACTGTACAGCACTTTCTAAATGAACAATTTCCTTTGACTTTAAGTAGCTGCCCAACCAGCCCTCTATAAGTTTTACTTCAGAGGCTCTTTGCTCCACCAGCCAATCCGGATCCTCAGCCATTGCTGCACGCAAATCTAAGTGATGGGCACCTAAGACGAAATGGGTCGGGGTTCATCAATCCATAGCAATATTGTCCAACAATGATTACGAAAGATGTCAATCAGCGGTTTAAACTTAAACCAAATATCATCTCCAAATTCTCTAATGTGATCAAGCCAACAAAGAGAAACAAAATGGAGTTACCTTTTTCAGTAACAAGAGCAACAATAGTTTCTGATATGTTCTCTAAGACGCTGCAAAACATGATTATTTCCATAAAACTTGGCAGCTAGACTTGACGAACCCTAAACAGTAATTTAACACGCTGAAAATTTACCCGCCACCACTCCATGGATCTAAGAGACCATTTGAAAAGATGATGTTACTCCCAAATGTCCCGAGAGCCGTTTTTATGTCCTTCAAACAAGAAAAATCAACCATGTTTTAATGATAAAGAAAGGGCAGATAGTTCACACTGTCAATAATCCAAGTTACCCACACAATTTGAAAAGACCAGTAGCAATTTCAAAATCAAAGTCACGGATTAATTATGAATAGGGATATTCACACTTTTAATCCACAAGGTGTTTGGCAATGCGTAACCAGGGATATATCTTTCAACTTTTGCAAATTTACCCTTTCGGTTTTAATAATTGAGATACAATTATTTCCTCCAAGAAGACCCACCCTATAGTAGTACTAAAGTTTATATACGGAGAATACCCCATGTAAACCATAATATTGAACTGTGTCAATAGTAACTTTAATGGGAGACACTAAGGACCTGTCCAGAATCCAGATAATCAGATCTGAATTGTTATTAGGATTCCGGAAACAATTTTACAATAATGGAAATATATTTCCCAAGATCACAAGAATGTCAATGAACTTAAATGCCTCGCTTAACTTTTGCAACTTTCCTTTTTTGCTTGTCACAAAAACTTGGCTACTTCCTTTTTAAAGTAATGAATTTGTGGTTCAACTTATTTATCTCTCCTCTGTACAAATCTGAACCAAACATTTTTAAATTTTCTTGTTTCACACCCACACGAAGTTAGCAGTGTCTAATGGGAAGGAGGTAATACTTTCTATTTAAGTCTAGAGTTGTTAAATAGAGAGCCATACATACATGTCCACCAAATTCAGTTGTTATCCATGTAGGCCTGGGAATGACATGGTAATTCCTATAGCAATACTCTGCATCAGAGACGTAATCATACTCGAATGCTGGAAACATACTTGTATTTCTATTACTCGACATTGGCATAATCATCTCAGTGCATGCCTGTATGTACATATATAAAATATAAACAACAATAAACATTGTTTTTTAGGCAAAATTGTAAATTATTCTGATCAGAAAACTCATTTTAGAACAAGATGCATTTAAAATGAACAAATACAGAGTAATATTTATAGTGTAACATCAGTGCACCTGCCAGTCCCAGCCACTCATACCGTGAGGATCATCATCAATATTGAAACATTTATACTTTCCGGTGTGGTTATAATAGACACTAACTCCTTCAAATATTCGCTGCAGAATATCTGTGCCATTGGGTGAGCTGTCAATTTTCTTACAAACCTGATAAAATGAAATCATGACAAATGAAGATGCAGTTGTAAAATATTTGCAGGATAAAAATTGGTGAATAGGCAGATAAACCTCTTTTATTGGATTGCCAGGTAAGGGCATTACAAAATCTGCAGGGTATGGGTAATCAGCCATTGCCAAATAACTGTAGGCAGAATCCAGCCAGTCAGAAAGGTCTTCAGCACTCTTAAGTTCTCTTCCATT